TTTACCACACCTTGAAACTCGTTCATGTGAACCACAATGCTATCACCATCTTTGTATTGCAATTTAACAAGCTTCCTAATCAAAGAAGCTTTTCCCATAGCATTGTTCCTCTCGTACATGGATTCAAGTTTCTTCCACATCTCAAAAGCATTAGTTTCATTAGCAACATGTTGCAACACACTTAAAGAAACATATTGTCGGATTGATGCAATAGCTTTCCGGTTCAAGGTAGTCCAAGCTTTCTCATCAACACCTGTTGGACGTTCTTTATACAAAATTGGGTCAAGCAAATCTTAAGAGCATAAATAATCCTCAATACGAATTTTCCAAATTGAATAATTCGTAGAGTCCAAACTAACCATTCCTTGAACAATTACTTTGTCATCCATCATAAACAACACAAGAAGCCAACCAATAAATAACCAGGCTCTGATACCACTTTGTTGGGGAAGCACGGAACAAAACACAACGGAAGCGTATAAAATCTTTTCCCCAAATTAATGAGATGAACAACAAAGCACAATATACTCCAAAAATCAGCACCACCACCACAAATAGATAGCAACAGAAATAAGATAAAGAACACACGATTTACGTGGAAACCCCAAATCGGGGAGAAAACCACGGCCGCTCAACAACGGCACCCAAACTTCCACTAATCACCAAGAACCAAGTGGGTACAACAAGTTCTCCTCTCTAGTAAACACTAGAGGCATACACAATCATCAAGGAGCAACTTTGGAACAACAACAACAATCAACAATTCAACATAAAATGGAGTAAAAACTCCCAAAAACGCAGGTCTGAAAATGCAGCTAGAAAACAGCCTTCCGGGCATCAAAATGAGAATCTGACTGTTGGATTTGAAGAGGAGTATGTGAGGAACAACATACTAAAATTTGAGCACGATCCGACTTTGTTTGGCCTTCGATCCGGAGGTGAAAAGTTGCTGCTGTAGAGAGTGGCGGAAATCTTCTTTTTCTTCCTCTTTCCTGCGTTTAGCTACTGCCAGCCCTCACTTCTTCCTTTTTTTTCTCCCTTATCTTCTCTCTTTTTTATTTAGTTAGTAGCCACACACAACACAAGAGAATGGGCCACTAAAAAAAACAATTGGGCTAAAACTTTACACACAAAAATAAGCCCAAATATAAGAGAGAGATTTAAAGTGTTGTCCAATTAAAATTGGACACTTCCTCCATGTAGGAGGGATATTTCCCAACACTTTCCCAATGTAGTAACATTTGTTTTTATTTTCCAATGTAGTACCACTGGTCATCTACTGATGACATGACTATTATTCTATCAAATGGCTAATGAAAATACAAAAAGAAAGTAAATAAAATTTGTTTTTGTGAATAATAAAGAAATAATTTATCTGGAGCAGAGAGAGTATGGGTATCACATAACGAAATAAACATTTTTCATTGTCAAAATGAATGAACTTGCTTTTCTGCTTTTCTGTGTAATTTGAAACAAAAATACAAACATACCAATTCAAAACAAAAATACATAGATAACAAGACATATCATAAGGAGTACCAGCAAACATAAGATTGAACATATTTCATAATGAAAAAATCTCAAACGTTACAATAGCTTTTGCATCTTCTTCGTTTGAAACAAATTTGGATATTCACCTTCCTCTTCGTCATTGTGTTTAAAACCCCAATGTTCACGGGAGTTGAAGAGTTGCATTGGATTTGGACAAGTCACGCTCATTGTT